ACGAACAAGAAACATCAGGAAACTCTCCAGGGGCGTTGACCCAAGGATGTACCGTAGTTGCATCAGCCGAAGATGGTTCAAGCCATAACATATATTGGTATGGAGGCTATGATGGTATTCACCCCACGCAAGCTTTCTCGGATGATGTTTACGTTCTTTCGATTCCTTCATTCATCTGGACGAAAGTTTACACTGGAAGCGATACTCACGGTCGGGCTGGACACAAGTGTGTCAAACCATATCCTGATCAAATGATCGTTTTGGGTGGATATGCCGCTCTCACTACTGAGATTCCACGTTGCCTTGAAGGTGGTATGATCCAAATATTCAATCTCAGTCACCCGCAATGGCTGGACTCCTATGACCCTTTGGTCTGGAGTAATTACACTGTACCCAGTCAAGTCGTATCTGTGATCGGAGGTTCTGGGACTGGTAGCGCCTCACAAACTAAACCATCTGGAGGGTTCACAAATTCAAGTATGACAGAGCTCTTAGGAACTGCCTACAACACAACCAAAATCACAAATTGGTATCCATATACCCCAGCTTCATCAACCCCTCCAAATAATCGAACAACTCTTCCTACACCCATCGCTACCAAATCTGGAACACCTTCGTACCTTGGACCTGTTTTAGGTGTCGTTTTGGGTCTCTTCTTCATCACCCTTCTTATTTTAGGCTTTATCATCTATCGTCGTCGCAAGATTTTTGGCCTCTCGCGAGCAGATCGCCAAAGTGAAGCTGGAACTCTGTATGAAAATCGCCGGCGTACTCTCCGATGGCTTTATTCTACCCCCAGAGATGTAAAGGCTCCTACAGTCACAACTGATGAAACGGAACTCAATGCGGTATCTTCGGAAGCTGATACTGATCACACACGTGTATTTGCTGCCGAAATGCCAGGTGATACACAATTTCACGAAATGATGGGTATGTGACCCCTCAGCCCTTGATTTTTAGATTAGAAATTAACCAATCTTACCTTGTAGATACATCTCAGCCCTCCGAACTCCACAACACAGGCTTTGTCCCCCTTTCCCCTAAATCTAATGTTTGGAACAACATTTCCCGTAACCAAACTCCCATCACGCATTCTCCATCCGCAGGTTCCAATCACTCGCATGCTAGTACTGTCTCTCGAAGCTCGGGCCCAAGATCCTCTCCAATATCTCCTGCTCGCGCAGATAGTGTGACACTCAACGAACAGGTAGGAGGTGCCACGAGGGAGAGAATTCATAGTGATTTGAGTAGTGTTACTGAAAGTGAAAGAACTCACTTAAGACAAATTAGTGACGCGAGTGTAAGTGTAGATGGAGATTATGGGAATCTACCAACGCCTGAGATACAGATTGAGAGACCACATGAGGAGCGTGAAATTGAACAAGAGATTGAGAGGCCCGGACTGGTCAGTCCATTAACGCCACCGCAGGGGGTGGGGCAAGGGAGGCAGCATTATTTTGGTCCGGATAGTGTTGGGGGCAATGCTGCACAGAATGTGCCGGCGCCTGAAACGAGGAGGAAGAGTAATTTTGAAGAGAAACTGGATGAGTAGAGTTAAAGGGGCAATTACAAGTACATAGTTTCCACGGAAGGAAAAGTGAAAAATTTACGAATCATGACGGCACTCGAGTGGGTATTTGGCTGAAGGTACAGGACAGGATAGTGAAGGCATTGGGGGTCGTTACGGATAGTCTTTACGGATGTATATCTTATGACGTCATATCTACAGTCACGCATTTAGTTTCTAGTCTTTAGTTTTTAATCTTATACCTTTATATTTTCATCTAACGAGCTTTGTCGATTCCATTCGAAGCGTGGGTCAATACTTGAAGAATTGAAATTGGTAAATCTTCTTCATAGACACACATGCACACTCGGATGTTGCGGCGACTTCATATATGACCAATCATATTGAATTGTGCGGATAAATATTAAAAGTCATTTATCCGGTCGGGTACCTGTTTTCTTCATGAATTCCCACTGAAGGGTGACATCGGCAACCAAACTTGCATGAAATCTTAATAATTGTGGCTACTAATAAAAAGGATGACTGACTCGACTGGTCCGATATCTAGCATTTGCATTCATGGTCTTCCCACTTATGTCTACGAAGTGAAGAAACACCAAATCTAGATCTCTAACGCTCTTGCATAATTTGGTAGTGGACCACATCGTTTATTCCCTGCAGCACACCATCTCGGGAGCTCGGTTCGTGAATTGAAACTTTGGGAGGACAGCAAAATGGAGGGATGTCGGGTACTCCGTGCAGCTTACTGAACCACGAAAATGTCTATACACATCAGATGAATAAAACAATCGGGAATTAACAGGAGAAATGTGTTGTGGAATGCGTCTTTCCTTCCATTAATTGCGGATGGCACCTTCGTGTACTCCGGATGCAGCACAAGTGCTCAGTATTGATTTTTCGTATCCGTTGAAGATCTTGTCTTCATTTGAATAGATGTGGTGTGCGAGAAGTTTGGTAAAGAAATATTGATGTGCAGCTCAATTGAATTCAATACGGAAGGAGATTATTATGCGAGCGCGGCTTGCGGTGCGGCTTGCCCGAGGGGGAGTATGTAAAGAATTGGTGTTGATCTAGATACCGAAGATCCTAAGATGGTGTGAGTGAGAAGAGGGGAATTAGACAGGGGTTGCTCGGCCGACTGATTTGGGATGGGAGATGGTGGATGGGGTTTATGTGAGATTTAACATGTGACATCCATATGATATTTGGTTATGTATTATCCGGACCGAGACACGACCGGTTCGTCTTGGCGTGTAGATACAAACGAGGGGGCAGACTTGCTTGGGTTCGGAGTCATGTGTTTCTTCATGATGGGATGGATTTGAATTTTCTTGATGCATTTGTTGTGTAGTTTTCAATTCTTACTTGATGTGTCGCTCTTCCAGACTCTCCTTTAAATTTTACTCGATACCGTCATGAGCTCGCTAATGATGCTTCTCTGTCTTTCATGCTACTAGGTATCATTGAGGTACTTTGAAGTTTCTGCCAGAACGAAAAGATAGAAGAAGCGAAATAGGAACAAATTTGAGGATGGCTGTGTTGGTAATAGTCTATGTCTAGATTGTATTGTATTATACCTCTCATGTTATAATGGTTCATGATTCATTAACAAGTGTTTTGTTTGGGAAAAAACACCAACCACATATTGGCAAAAGACTTGATCCTTTTTTATCTCATCAGTGCAAGCTTTCCTCGAATATTTTTGTGCAAGTTCCTCAAATAGTAATCTGAATAATGGACCTTTTTTGCAAATATACACTTGTTCTCTTGCGCGGTAAGATTTTAACTAATAAACAATATCTAAGTTCTCTTCATCTCTTGTCGAGACAACTTCGTGCAGTTCCCATCAGTGACTCTGACCTCAGTATTCATCTTCGTATATATCATTCTCCTCTGGCTTGTTATGCTCGTGAAACTGATTCAACAGATGTCTGTACAAACTAGTAGGTTTGTCCTTCCTTGCTTGCATTGCGAGCCTTTCTTCCAAAGTACTTTCTTAAGACCCATCAAATCGTCAATTAGCTTCCTATTTTCTCCCCCTTCATTCTCATTATTTGGAAAAGTAATTAAACATGTATTATCTTCGAGAGTAATGAACAACCATTCTCACTCTCTCACCAAGCAGCCTCAGATGAAGAGTGTGTGGCCTTCTAAAATCCAGACTATAGAACTTAATATACACATGGAGATACTCTGTAATTTTTAATCTTGATTCTCTAATACAGCCCCTCCGAAGAGAAAGGTCAAGCAGGATCTTCTCTTTATATTACTCCAACTTATCGTTCAGAAGGTCCTATGCAACAGTGACAGATATTTATCGGATACTGTGGCGCTTGGTGGTATTCATGAGTGGAAAATGAAATTCAAATTCAATTTATGAAAAAATGTGGGAAAATGCCTACCGAGCATCCATAAAGTCAATGCATAGCCGACCGCTTCAATCAGGTTGTAATAGTATAAATGAAAGTCGTCTCGCAGCATATGCTTCGACATTATCTTGACATTATCTAGATATAATGTTGAATACTGGACATACGTATCGCTCACACAGAGAAGGATTTAGTGTTACAATTGCTTGGCATACACAGAGTATGGTCAATGTACCATAATCGTCTAGGAACTCTATCCTTTTGTGATCTCTAGGCTCATACTGTACGCGAGTCTCCCTTTAAAATTTTCTGAGCTCACATGAAATGCGCAATGAGCATGAAATGTTGAATCAAGAACCGTAAGAGTTTTCTATTCTGTATGGGAAAGCTTGTAAAAGGATTCCTGAGCTTAAGAGTGTGATTGTTTAGCTATTCCATTCATTAGAGTTGACTTTATAATCTTATAGTAAATGACAGCGCTTCGAACCAAAGTAAATCGTTTTAATTTTTATGCTTTCTATGGCCTTTCTAGTATCACCGTCAGACTCACTAAGATTTAATGACTTCTTATTCATTGTGTGTTGAATAAATACGTAAAATAAAGAAATGAAGGGGGAATTTTGGCTCATATCATGACATTACTCACTTCTAGTCAAGTCACATTAGCATAGTACTTGTGCGCTCAGTAGTTAAATCAATCATCTTGGAACTTTGCATGTAATTAAGCATTCTCATATTATGGACGGTAGTAGGCACTCAAAATTGATATGTTGCCTAAAATTGCAATGCCATGGTCTGGAATTGGGTTGTATCTAGGGATGACTATAGTTGCCTAATTTCAATTCCAGTAACAACTTGTTAATAGTTATAATATAGCTCTCAAACATTAGTAAGCTTTAAGATGTAAAAATTATGTATTATTTATATGATCGCTCATAATAATATTAACTTTCTATCTACTTTCTAACAAGATCAGAGCATCAACCAACATTTCAAAACTCAGATTCATTATCAGCACCATTTCCTCAAACTCTTGTCATCTTAGGCGACTAACTTCAATCCTCAGATTACGTTCTTGATATTCCAAATCAACTATCAACATAATGGCTGGTTCCCCGCCCAAACCAAAATCTCAACACAGTCATTCTTCGCCACCCGGAGGAGAACCTCTATCTAAATCTTATACTTCATCTAGAGTCGTACCCAATGTCAAGAAGGAATTTGGCGATTCAGGCCAACAAATGGTTAACCGAATTGATAATATCATTAAACCCCGCAACAAAGGACTATTTTTGACTCCTTATGATTCTCATTCTTTAACGTTTACAAAATCGCTTGTTCACAAAATCACATTGAAGCAAGCGCAAGAATTCTCTACTAATGCCTCGAAAGATTCGCCTGGTTTTGCACTTTCTGTACATCAAGATGGAGATAATGATCTCTTCTTTGAAATTAAGATTTTGGATTCAAGAGAACAACAACAACGCAAGATTCGGTCGGCATCTAGAAATCCGGAGTTGAAACATGCAGAGCCACCTAGAGAACGTAGGGCAAAATACAGAAGGGAATAATGCAATACTATCAGAACGAATTCCAACTATCAGATAATGATATTTGACATCAGAATTGCCTGGAAAGTGGATTCTCTTCATAGTAGAGTGAGGTACGACTCATACTAGAAGAATTTTGATTTACACATGAAGGTTGATAGACATAAGAGTTGAGATATCGATACAGCTCGTACTAATCGACATTTTCAATAAGACTGAATCTATCTGAAACTGGATTCTATATGAAAGCCTTATGAATATAGAGAATAGTGTAACGCTTGGGTTAAGAATCCATAATAGATTGATATTTTATAAGCGTGTTCTGTTAAGCAAGATTATAGACTAAATAGTACATAGTAACGCTTCGAGAACGTTTCACGTGGCTATAAGAAAAATGAAGAGGCAAAATTTGTCATGGGAAGATTGTGTCTCGACATATGACAGATTAAGTTGCGCAGAGATATAAGTACTGGATCCTCTGGTCATATAGAATTTATCACCATGACGCACAACAGGACGATCTACGAGTATAGGTACCACAGCTTTCTAGTCACCTAAATACTCTTTTCCCTTCCACACAATCTATCATCTTCAACCATCCAACTACCACAATGGACATTTAAAGCTCATCATTATGGATTATCCGATCATCATTCCCTCCCTCTACCAGGCATACACAATAACCGCGCGCGCTCATATATTTCAATACCAACAGCAACACAACAGACGCTCATTATTCTCTCGTAGCAAGGAAAATATCTGGTGCTAGCCTAATAGCCGTGATACATCTAGAAATGAGAATTTTAATAGACTAAGCTGGCGTGGAAATGGCAACACCTATAGCAGGACTGAATTGAACGGTTGCATATCACGGGTCAAAGGAAAGGTTATCAAACCTATGGCTAGGACGATCGATAGAAGGCGTCGGAACACAGAAGAAGTAGATACCATCCGAATCTTGGATATCAATACCTTTTGTTGCTTCAAAGGATGGAGTGCAGCTTACGATGTCCCGGGCTGCATTTCAGAATTCAGAAAGCTTCAACTCTTGATTCAAATTGCAACGCACAACTTAACCAATAGACCGAATACACGCCGAATTTTTTCTGTTATAGACTGAAAGCTGCTGAATAATTGGCTGCGAGCCGGATCTTACTCGTTGGAAAATTTCAGTCATATATGTATATACATAATTTGAAGGGTGGATTAGATGTCGGCATCACTTGAACTCTTGGACTCAATCTGATCCACCAATGAGTTGGCGTAGTATTGTTTGCAACTAATAGGTGCCTAGGTGTAAGAATGCAATACCATTTGGCATCCATGTAGTTTATCTACGTGCTTTCATGGGGCCGAGTGCAGACAATCTCATGGCTACACGAATTTAAGTAGGTTGCTTGCCTTGTGGCTCATTGGTTGGATCGGCTGTGTCCAGACTTCACTCCCAGCTGCATATCAAGCTTCGATGTTCAAAACCATTACATATCGTCTCAACAAGCGAACCCGTTGCCTCTAGACTAACATGATTGGCGCTGCTGCTCTTGTTGCACTCACTGTTCTTCAGCAAGGGAAGGGCTCAGCATGACTGAAACTTCAGTTGCCTCGACATGTTCAAAACATCCAATCCTTGGGGACTCGTGCATTATATACCAGCCGTCCAAGTCTGTGTATCGAACTCGAGTGAATGCAGAGCAGCACATGCTGCTGCAGTAGGGCAGGAAAAGGACGTGTGAGCCAATGCTGTCTTCGGCAAATTTCATAACAGGGGTCGGGGCAGAGATTACCTGCATTTTGAAGTCTCAAGAAACACAAGACTACCCCCGACTTGGGGTCATATGACTGTCCAAATACCAGTCACATCGATACAATTGAAAGAGCTGCAGGATTCATGGCTTTATCTGATGTGAATGTGTACAGATCAATTCTACCAACATGAAGACAGCCAGCACACTTTGCTGAAATGATTGTCAAGAGTCGTCTTGAACAGGTGAAAGCAGATCGAGATCTCATACTTATCCGCCCAATAAATCTAGTGCAGAAAAGGCATTCATTTCTGGTAAAAAAAAAAATTATTGCTCATCACGTTTGTTGCCTTGGGTTAGAGCAGGTGGCCTTTCTCCCCAGAAAATCGGGGGTATCATGGCACTTATACCAGCATGTGAAAGTGTGTTTCCACTCCTGTAAGGTTACCTTTCGTCAAAGTCCATCATTGAAGCTGCGAACGGCAAGACCTTTGAAGATGACCCGAGACATCCCTTCCCGTCAGTGTGACTTACGATATCATTAGTTATTGTAACAAAACGATGCAATTTCACAAAAAAAGGTTTGATGTAGACCAGGAATCATTCAGATAGAACCCGATCGAATCGATAGCTAAAGCTATATCCCCTTTGTCAGAAGCAGGGTCACCATCTTGATACCAACCTGGAAACTATGTTGAAGAATGGCCAAAGGAACCAGCAAAGGCATTTTCGGGAGATGGGACTCCTGTCAGATTGTACCTATGCTCAGTACTCTATATATATTGAGATCGGCTTATGTGACTGTGACGACGAGAATGCCTGGTGAATTGGGGCCAGGTCTAGAGGAAGATACTGAGCCTGTTGCTGCTCTTGCTTACTTGGCGTGAAACTTTTCTGAAGGTTGAACAATACAACTCTTCTTATTATCATTTAGAAGATTGTACAGGTCGATGATATATCCAATCCATGAAAATAGTTTACAGTACAGTGAGCTAATTCAAGTGTTTAGGCTGTAGGCTATGATATATGCCCCTGCGGACCTGTGGCAAGTTTGCCGAGGTTTCGGCATCTTCTCCACAAAATATGGAGACACCATCATTGACAACGCATTTTCAGCTACAGCAGATCTAAGCACTAGGTATGTAAATTAAATCTGTATGATAATCATTGCACAATTTTCCCTTTTGCTCTCTTGATCTTATCTCCAGTTTCTACTCTGCACATCCCTCAACTATACCCCGCCATCGCAAATCCCACAATATGTCTACCGGTACGCCCCTCAAAAACACATTGCTATCCTTTCCAACAGCTTCGACTCTCCTCATAACCATCAACCGACCTTCATCGCTCAACTGCCTCGATACCTTTACCCATAACGAGCTCGATCGGGTTTTCAGATGGTTTGACGCTGAACCCGGTCTTCGATGTGCCATCTTGACGGGTGTCGGGAGGAGTTTCTGTGCAGGCGCAGATCTCAAAGAGTGGGATTCCAATAATTCGTTATCTACTTCTGCCTCAAGTCAAGCTCGTTCATTACCAACATCTGGTTTCGGAGGTTTAAGTCGGAGAGGCGGAAAGAAACCTATCATATGTGCTGTGAACGGAATATGTTTTGGAGGTGGCTGTGAGATGATCATAAATGCGGATATGGTGATTGCAGAATCTCATGCTGTGTTTGCGTTGCCGGAGGTGAAGATTGGAGTTGTGGCCCTTGCTGGAGCATTGACCCGGTTAGTTCGGACGGTAGGAAAACAGAGAGCTATGGAAATGGCGTTAACGGGAAGAACGCTTGGGGCTGAAGAGGCGATGGAATGGGGATTGGTCAATCGGGTCGTAGGAACGGGGAAAAGTGTTGAGGAAGCAATCAAACTGGCGGAGCTGATAGCAGCAAATAGTCCAGACAGTGTCATTGTGAGTAGAGAAGGTATTAAGATGGGGTGGGAAGGTGTTGGTGCGGAGGAAGGGACTCGATTGATTGAACAAAACTGGTATAGTAGGATGGACAAGGGGCCAAACATGAAGGAAGGAGTGAGGAGCTTCGTGGAGAAGAGGAAACCGAATTGGGTACCCAGTAAATTGTGATTTTGCGTTTTCTTTTTGTATTTAGCTAGTTTATATCCCCTCTGTTGAGCAGTCATAAATTGTATTTCATGAAACATCGCACATGCGCAATTTTCAGAGTGAATCTATCTCACCTCGTCTTCTTCCCTACAATGGATGGAATATACCTCGTATGGTATCTCATAGTTACCATTAGCTCAATACATTCCACCCCTCCATGGCCTACCCAGTCTGTTTTCCTCCTTCAGATCCAACATATCGAGGTAACTAATCCATCCCTTCTCATGCCATTCCCTTAGATCACATCCTTCCTGGCCCGCCTCCAACGCGATGGCATTCACAGACAAATATCCCGTCTTGCCTTCTATCCACTCAGTTCGCTTCCCATCCGCCTCTCCTTCCTTCGGGCACATCCAAACCTCTCTTTCACCCTCTCCAACTTCCTCTCCGTTGACCTCATTAACTCCGAGTTCCTTCAAATTTACCTTCCTTGTTTCTCCGTTTTGAAAGTTCAATCCAGTTGCGAAAGGTCTCACACCACATATACCACAGAACCACCAATTAAGCTCTTTGTCAAAACATTGATAATTTCTCATTCCCTGATCCTCCCATCCACCTTGTTCATGCGGCATTCCGGTGGGACTTAGGAGCATGAAATCATTTGGAGAATCCGGAAGTCTAATATGGAAAAGACCCATTTTATGACAGGTGGTACAGTTGCATTTGCGGAGGCGCACGGTAGTTTTTGCAGAAGGCGTTGCTTCGATCACGGGTGGTGGAAGGCTCATGAATATCACGAAGCGAATTAGTCCGCAGTGGCAGGAACCATGGTAAGGTTTGCGGGTGGCTGTAGAGGTCGTCGTGTAAGTTGATGACATCTTGATAATTTAATGGAGCCACGTGAGTAGCCTTTTTACCTAGAAATAAGTTATTTTATGATAGAGACCTGTATGTCTTTAAATTTGAAAAATGCTTATATTCCGAATATATATCAAAGGGGTGAATGCGACTTATACCCCGCAGTAATTGGATAAGAGTGCAATATCCTTATCTTGCTACATTATTGCTCCTCACGTCATCAGTTGTCAAATGCAAGGCGTGAAGACGCGGTGAAAGGCGCATATCATGTATTTAATTAATTGCAAACGAATAACATTTCTAGTTACAATCCACCAAGTCAGCTGGTTTCGCGATACGGGAGTTTGGGCCAATGTTGAT